TTCAGGACTCGAGCTCTAGTTAAAGACTTTTTAATAGCTTCCTTTTCTAAACAAACCAACTACCAGAGAAGCAGATAGCATCTCGTGCATGCAGTGCCTCCTTGAGGTCGTTCGTGAAAGCTGTAGCGGCGGAAGCAGCAGAAATTCAGACCGGCATAAACAGAGACGCTCTCATAACGTCGTGCACAAAATGCTGCTGTGTTGAGTTCCCAGCACTAGATGGCATTGGCAGTGTGCTGTATCTCTCTGCTCTTCAAGTTACCAACCAACACAAACAGTGTCCCAACGCCGACTTCCTGCGTCGTGTGCAGCCCTGACTGTATTGCATGAAAATCTATATTTGAGATCATGCTTTTTTTGCTCAACAGTTCTGCACGCTTACAGAGGCAAATTAACATCAGCCAGTTGTTTTAGGCAAGACGCTTTCTGACCAGTTTTGCAAGTACATTCAAGTTTCTGTTGGCCGCCTGCTGAGAACGGAGAAGCAAAGCTTAGTTTGCACATTTAAAACAGAATCCTACTTTTGGGAAAAGTTCCTTCTTAATGAACTTTTTATGATTTACAAACAGTGAAAAGTTCAAAACATGGCCCTTGCGAACATTAGTGCAGAGCAACATCGCATGTGTCATGGAGCGGCTTTGAAGCAGACCACAATGTAAAACAAAACTAAAAGGTTCTGCAAATGTCTGCAAGTCAAAACCAGAAATTACTGGCCGAGAATAAAATAAGCGAACGAATGTGATCTCAGAGCAAAGCTCGCCGGAGCTGCAACGTAGGGACAGACTAAAGAGTAAAAACCCTAGAAGTGCTGACAAAATGTGTTCCAAAAAAAAGTAATAAACCAGAAAAAAGGGGTCAGCTTACAAAACCCACTCATTCTGACATCTGTAACCTAAAAAAAAATCCTCTCCAAATGCATCAGGTAAGTGAAAAAAAAAAATTACTCAGTTTACACCTTTTCTGCCTTCCTGTTTGTCTCAGATGGCGTCCTGTGGTAATGCGTCTGTATTCTGTGGTTTTTCTGAGAAGTGCATCTCAGAAAATACTTTGAAACATTATCACTAGTTATGGGATGGCACTGGGAGTGTCTGCAGGGCTTTTGGTAGATCGTGTTTGTCATGAGCTGATAAGATTTCTGCAGATGTAGTGAAAGTCCTCACGTATGACAGCCAGGAAAAGTTTAATGTCTGGCCATTTTGTTTTTTTTTAGGGAGGGCGGGGGGGTTTGCCCTCTGCAAAATGCCAAATGCTCCACTGCACTTAACTCATTTCTTGAATAGCAGCATCCCTCACGTTGTAGCTGCCATGGTAACAGGGGCGTGTTTTCCTGAATAAACTCAGTGGAGCTCCACACCACATCAAAACATGCTGCCGTGATTCAGCCTCCAAGCTCTACAGGGAGTCTAACTATAGCAGACCTAGCTGCTTACAAGGCAGTGTTTGCGCTGGGTTTAATGAATTCCACCTTCCTGTTTGACCTAGTTGGATGAAGTTTTTTCCCCCCCAAGTTTTACCTCCGGGGACTTACCAGCACCAGACGTGCGCCGTGCAAGTGTGCGTTCACCCTCCTAGCAAAGATGTAGAAACGTGAAGCGCTGGCTTTGTTGTTTTTAAAGGATTGTTCGTCAGAGTAGCGGTCCTGCTGGGGCGAGGGGGATTACAGTGACGGAGGCTCCACAGCTGGAACACATTAACTCCACGCATGATGAGCGCACTCGGCTACACACAACACGGTGATGTCATTTTCCTCAGAGGTTCGGGCTCACTCGCAGTTTAAATCCAGTTACTCACATGCAGAACCCGGTAACCACATGTACATCATGTAAACACAGAAAAAAAAAAAAAAAAAAAAAACACAGTTGTGTTTTCATGCTCATTGATTTTGCTCAGCAGGGGTAATTTAGAGGAGCACATTTTATTTATGTTGATGTTTTTCTTCAGATTGGACAGTGCCCTGACTTTTTTGTGTTCTTTTTCTCACACTTACATATTTCAAATCAGGTTGACAAAGTCAATATGAGGAATATCCATTTACAAATTAGTTTTATTGTTATTATTATTATTATTTTTTTTTTTTGCAAGAAAACAGCTATCCAAACTAACAACTAACAACTATGTGGAAAAAAAGTGATCTTCCACAACACCTGATAAGGGGGCTTTGCCACCCTCTGCAACCAAGCACTTGTGATAAAATGGAAAGGTTTCTTTTTAGATTCCTGTTGAGGAATGTCGGCCTTTTATCGAGTTTGTGGCACAAATGGCCTTGATTTACCAGTAGCTTGACAGAAAGAAAGACAAGGAAGACATGCTGCAAATGGGTTGGGGTCAGAAATCAAAGCCAGTGCTCTTGCTGTAAACGCAGAATTGTTTTAATCCACTCATTGTATAAATAAAATGTGAGAGTTTCTTTTTTTTTCTTTTGTAGCACCTCATACTGCTGTTCATGTAAGTTTAAGGTTTATATTGCATGTCGTTCTTATCGCCAGTGGTAGGCGGTAATATACTCACTGACAAATGCTCATAATCAGCAGTGGTATTTAAAATGATATATTTATGCACGGCAGTAGTATGACTCAGGAAGATTTATAGACATCTTATAAACCCTCAGATCTAACCTTAAGTGATGATCTCACTGAAACACTAAAGTCTGGGAAGGCGTGAAGCTTGGTACAGACAAGCTGACATCCTTTTCACGTCCTTCTGACCTGACTTTGCTCTATTTTATGCTACATAAGAGTTTTAAGGTGGGATGTTTCTGTTCCTGTCAAAGACTCATTATTGTCAGCCCTTCCTCTTCCAACTACAATTACCAAGAGGAGAGGATTTTCTTTTAAGGGTTAAAGTTAAAGCCAAATACGATAAACAGAATTTCCATAAATTAAATGTTTGACATAAAACACACCTTAAACAAGCACTATTGTGTTTTTAAACCATTTTCAGACACGGCCTGACAGGATTTCTATGTCAGCTGGTCTTCTGGATGTGCCGTAAAGTGATTTTTGGTCTCTCAAGCTGCTGTCATCGTGATTTAAAGAGCTGCGTAAAAGCACTTTAAGCACTCTTCCACTCAGGATAAGCTTCTTGGTAATTCTTTTAAAATGGCCATTATTAGTCATTATCAAGGCTCTGCCAAAGTCTTATAGTTTTCCTTTGGATAATGGCAGTCTTTTGTCTCTAGATGAAAGTGGCAAAAATAAAAATAAAGCTTTAAAATTCTTTCAGAAAGCCTGGGAAAAACAACGACCACATACAGTAAATCCGGTTGAAAACGTCCCCGCTCTCGTACCGTTTGAGCGTTTTACGACATTTTCGATTCCGGCCAAGAACATAGTTGCAGCAGCCCATACGATAATGGTGCCATGTGTTTGGAAACGGTGCGAAGGCAGGCGGGGTGAATCGGTGTATGAGCTCAGGACAGCTGTGCAACATGGGCACATTGCTGGAAACCGGAGGGCACGTTGGCGTGGGCATGTCTGCATGACGGGACCATTGTGGAAACCTGGCGTAGAAACAAAAGCCCATTTCTGTGGCTCCAGTGTGTAAACGCCGCCGCTATGAGGGCATGTTGCACTGAGTGGCTCTCAGTGAAGGGCAGTGCATGTAGAAGGAGGAGAGGCCGATGGTGGGAACAGTTAATGTTTGTCTTTTGTGCACTTCACAGGCTGCGCGGGACATGTTCTCTGTCATCTCCTGCTAAGTGGGCCGTGTTTGTTAACAGCACCGTGTGGGAGGGAGGGCTGAAACGCTCCATGTCTTCACTCTGGTGCCTCTTTCTGTTTGTACATTTGTGTTTATTTGCTGTTTATATATAGCTGTGTAAAGTATTATAATAATGAAGATGTCAGTGGGTGGTGGGTGGGATCTCGCACAGCGCTGTCATGGAGCCGAGGAGCTTAATAATGACCTAACGGCGTCTCCATGGTTACCCCACTCTGTGTTGTGACACCGAGAAAGTGCAAAACTCAGGAGCTCCACATTTCATTTATCGTAGACCCGAATGTAGAAACTTTATTACACATGTAGGGAACTCAGTTAATCATAAAATAGTGACTCAAGGGTTTTATCTGATAGTTTGGAGTGGCTTCATAGACACCAAATGAATTTCTCCTCTTACATTTATCCGTTTGATTCATAGCTTGGAGAAGCTATTCCGGTGCAAAAGTTGTAAGCAACTCCCAATTTCTTACAGAGTGAGAGGGATTTAAAATCTGTTGCTGAATTCTGATTTCTGTAACGTTTTAAATTTCCAATACCAGTTTTAGCCAGTTCGGATTCACATTTAACATATAAACATTCGACATATGGGTCTTGCTTTTTGCTCATGTATAATTATATATTATTTATGTTTGGATCAGAGCTGACATCGCACTGCCAGTTAGCAAATATTTTGAAGACAATGGCGTATTATGAGATTCCTGATCTATCTATTTTATGTAAGCATTTAGCACACATAATGAGCCTCAATGTGGATGTTGTAGAGGATGTATGTACTTGCTCCAAATCTGAGATTTTCCCCAAAAATTGTCAACATCGCCATATTTTTAACATGTTCCATGAAGGAGAGAGATCAAAAGGATAAAACAGAGCAACTTTTTTGCTGGAGAGTTTTTCTCTCTACCTCTTCCACATCCTAATAAAACTTCAGACTCATCTCAGTTTGAACATATTTTTAGAGAAATTCTGTAGCAATTCTTTTGAAATACTTTTGCACATCTTTCATGTTTTTTTCTGACTTTGGTTTTAAAATAAAATAGCTAACTTTGAGCCTTTTTTCACTCAGTAAGAACATGTTCCTGGTGGCGTCCACTGATTTGAAGCCCTCCCGAATTTGTATTTTTCCAAGTCTGCTAGCCCTTAATCAGGATTGGTCGAGTTGAAAATGGTCAATTTCCGATCAGCAGAATATTTTTCGATTCTATTTTTTCATGTAATTATTCACGCAGGTCCCCTGCATGTATTTAAGTTTTCCTTCAAGGTTTTTGTGATCAATATGATCCAGAATCTCTTGCAAAGACTTCATCAAAATACCAGTGCAAACATGCTAAAAGCTTTTCAGCTACTATAATGAGTGTTTGATTGTTGCATTGTCAACAATCACTCTCTGCGGCACATGAACAGTATCTGAAAGCATCATATTAAATACATTTAAGAAACATTTTTAACCCAATCAAGTAACTATGTTACCTTCAGTTGTTATAGAAACGCTACATATGTCAAATATAGTTTGGTCTTTGTCTCTTTAAGAAGCTCCTACTCCATCACAACAATGCTACTCCATTATACAACCATTCTTGGGAGCATCGGACTGAGACAAATCAGCAGGTCTATGAGAGGTCTTCTGTTTCTGTAGCTCTCTGGTGCTTTCCCTTTCAGCTGCTTGCAGTTTGTTTCATTTTCACCGATGCAACTCATTTTGAGAGTTGTTGCAATAAAAGCAATACAGTCGCTGAAATAGAAACTCTTTGGCAGTTTTTGGTCAACTGATAAGTGGCTCAGCCTCTCTCTGACAGCTAGCTGAAGTGCTGCTCTGCGCCTCATGTCCAGCCAATCCAGAGGCTTTACTTTAGCTTTTTAATGACATTTTTGTGAAAATGCATGATGGAAAACCGTAATACAATTATACCTTTAGTCTAATTTTGAAAAAAGGAAAAGTGAAAATATTTTTCCGCCTACATGTCACAACCACATTTTGTTATCTATTTTATTAAGGTTTTATGTGATTGACCAACACGAAGTGTTGCATAACCTTGAAGGGGAAGTAAAATGATACACGGGTTTCAACAATTAATAGAAAAGAAAAGGAAAAACCTGGAAAGCATGAGCTGCAGGTCCACTCCTTCCAGCACATCTAGACACTAAAATTCTCCTTGGATCCCATTTAAGGGTATCAGAGTAAAAGAGGCTGTGCAGAAATGCAAACCAGAGTTGTTGTTGTTTTTTTTTTAATACATATCCTGGAAATCATGGGCATATATAATGTCACTTCGCAACTGTGAAGAAGGGCAAAGGCAGAGTCAAATACACAAAAGTGGTTAAAAAATTAATATAGGCAAAAATACAGAGGAAAAGATGGCTGAACCGTTTGCTGGTAGAAACAAAGACAAACTGGTATTGAAGGAAGAGAACACACTCACCAAATAAACACAGGAGGAGGAAAAGATGATTGTGAGCAGGTGCTTCCAATCAGGCTGGCTGGAGACGAGCCAGAAGCAGAGAGAGGTGGAGCAAATCAAAGCTGCCATGTAGCGTCATTTCAGATCAGGGCTCTTCAAATCCAGGCTGCGCTGTCTGGTGTCCTGCAACCGTTAATGTGTCCTTGGTCCAACACACCTGAATCAAATGGCCGAATTATATCCTCAGCATGTAGTCAGGATCTCCATGACCTTCTCGTGACCTCATTATTCAGCTCAGACACATCCAAAAGTTGCAGGACACTGGGCCTCGAGGATTGGAGTTGAAAACCACTGTTTTAGATCCCAGTGGTTTAAGCAAATATATCAAGGTCTGTTAAACTAAATTCAAAGCAAAAACCTGGCTTGCATTAATCCTTAAAAAAAGAAAAAAAAAGGTCTTTACTTTGTTCTGTTTGTAGTTCAACAAGGACAGCTGGCGCAGAATAAAAGGGGATTTTATGATGACAGATACTTCAAATTGAGAAATGTTTGCTTCTGGGAACGCTCCCCTTTTCTTTTCGTTCAGCCGCAGTCAGTGAAATAAAGCAACACCAGATGTTTTGAAGACATGAGAAAAATCAGAGTCACTCGGAGATATCACGAGCGACGCAACGGAATTTGAATGCATGCAGGACGTCGTCGGTCTTCCTGCGGCTTATCTTCATGCTCAGGCAAAGTCTGAATGATTTCAAATGCGAGGCTCCGCAGGGCTAACACGCCACATGCACGCCTCATCCGCGAGGCCACCCACTCCACTCTCTCCATCCGCTTTCTGTTCCTAAACTTTTCATTCTCTCGCACTTCGCTGCAACAGGACGGACTGCGGCAAAATCATAACACACAAAGCAATCAGCCAGGGTACGCGTTATTTAGCCGAGCAGCCGCAGCTTTGCAGAATTTTTGCTGGAAGCTCTTAAGAGCAAAACCCACAACGGCCCAAACAAACAAACGGAGCTGAGACTGAAAAGTGTTGGCGTAGTCGGGGAAGCAAATGGAGAGAGATGTAGCTGCAGCAGTATGGAAATCAGAAAAAATAATGCTGGTTTGGGTGTGTGTGTGGAAGTCTGCGTGTGCGTGTGCGTGTGTGTGTGTGTGGCGGCTGGTTCTGGTCAGCTGATGGGTTTTGCTGAGTGCGATTTGTTGGATGTGCCTGGCTTCGGCTGAACCTCACACAGCTGCAGTCAGTGTGTGTGTTGGAGGACGAAAATGAGAGCAAGAGAGAGAGAGAACACAAGAAGGGAAGAGAAAGAGAGAGAGAGAGAGAGAGAGAGAGACATGCAGGGCTGCCAGTGTGTCAGCTCAGCAACAGCAACATTAGGAGCTGCAGGCTGAAGCAGAGCAGCTTTGGGAAAACCTCCCCAAGTTTTCAGAGCAGGACTGCTTGAAATGACAACCACAGGGCCTTGATGGAGCTCTGGGTGTCTCACTTCTAGAGGAGAACACATCAACTCTGGCGGGACCGGAGGCCTGAGCCGACGCCGGTTTCCGATAGACGAGGCTGAGCTCATCCGGAGCGGATCGGGGTTGGACTCGGAGGCCGCGGCGTTGGAGAATGGGGTGCTCGGCCAGTGTGGTCTTGCTGCTTCGCTCGGTGGGCGGAGCCGACTGTGGTCACATATGTTCACGGCAGGACCAGGGGTCAGTGGAAGCTGCGACTCCCACTTTGGAGGGTTACATCTCCACCAGTTCGCCTCTGACCATCGTTATAATGGTAACCAACGCCGCTGCGTCTGTGGCTTCCCATTAAGTGCGAAATGCATGTGCGGATGAGCTGCCATTGTGCTGGAAAGGAAGCAATTGCGTGCAAAACAAAAAAGCAGCTAAAAAGTACGTTAAAGTGTGCAGGTTTGTGTTAAGTCATGCGTTTTTGGCTTTCTGCATTTTGTTTTACCTTCCCGTGTTGAAATTTAGGGGTTTTTTTATTGCTGAGGCTGACAAATGAGCAATGGCTTGAGGAGGCCATTAAGTTTCACAGCTGAGAAAGAGGCAAAGAGACGGAAATGGAAGAAGGAGAGTGGAGTGGGGTGGTGGGGTCAGACATGAGGAATCTGGTTTCTGTGGGAAAAAAGCTCTTTTCTTTGCATTTGGCCTGAAGTGAAAAGGAAAAAAAGAAGAAAAGAAAATGTTATTTGATTTTAACTTAAGCATTCGGTTGGATGAAAAGTGTTTCACTGAATATATGAATGAAACGTTTACACAGTTGATGAATGGATTATGTAAAAGTACACATGTTTCTCCTCACTATCTTCTCTCTTCAGGACAGAGTTTCCTGTCAGCCATCTGTAACAACTATTCTTAGCCAGACGTTTTCTTTTTTTAATTCCAAGAAATCCTACTTTCTGTACGCCAAGTGGAAAAAATGTTTGAGTCTTGGCAGTAAGGAGATCTTTACAGTCGCCCCTTTTGTCTCCCCTAACTCCCCTTCCTTCCCTCCTTAAATCTTGTCGTCTTCGGTGCCCAGTTACTGGCTCCTGCGCGAGGCAAGAGAGCGAGATCCACTCCAAAATCATATTAGCATGTGGACTCAGCTGATCCTTTTAGCTCATGGAACAATTGAGCACAGAGTGTCTGTTTTTCAGAGTTTAAAAACAAAAAACATAGGCATTTCCTTTGCAACAAAAAGTGCATCAGTCAGTGTTTGTATTTTGTTTTAATTGTGTTGCATTTTTAATATGACCAAGATGTTTTATTCTTTCATTACATTCTGATGTGTAGGGTATTTTAAAGCCGTGTGGTAAAATTACTGGGACTTCCCCCATGGGACCTCAGCGACCTGCGTGAGGTCAGGACTTAACAAAAGTCCCACATCCTTCTTGGATGACCGGGGCGATCCACTGAAGAGGGAGCTTGTCATGTTTCATTCAGGGCGTGCAAAACCTTTGGCTCAAATATGGAGCAAACCAGTTCAAAAAAAAAAAAGCCTCTTTGGTTGAATCAGTCCAAGCTGTGCATGTGGCGGCGTACCAGCTGTTGCTCACATTTTCCCTCAAAGGAGAATAGAGATGCGTTGGACAGGGCGAGATTCTAGCTCCGTGGCTTCACAAAGCATCTTTGTGCGGCGCTGCTCTTCTGCACGGGTGAATCCCGCAAACAATTTTCCCACCAATTAGCCTGAAAACCTCAGGTTGGTCTTTCGGGGGCTCATAAGCGGCGGTGATAAATCTCATGTGACTCTATTAGTATCGGTTTAACTCATCCTCCCGCCGCGTTCGGCCGCCAGATGTTTCTCTTGGCCACCTCGCTTCGCACACATTTGTTTTGGTCGTGTGCACCCACAGTGCCGAGTGTTGTAGTCCGCTTCCTGGATCTTGTTCACTGGAAGAGAGTCAAGAGCTTCGTCGTTGGCCAGAGAGTTTGTTTCTTTGATCTGACCCAAAGTTTGTTTGCACTTCAGCGCCTCTGCAAACAAGTCGGACTTTTCGAGCAAATATCCCGAGTCTGACTCAACAAGACCAGAGTAAGCGCGCGCTAACAGTAATTGTCTCGTCCTTATTAAGAGTTTCTTGTTTTTTTTATTTTTTTTGTTACAAATGGAAGCGGATTGTAAAACTGATGGATTTTGGTTTGTCACTAGGTTTGAGCATTGTCCCTCAGAAAGTTGGAAGATTGTGTGACTTGCAGAGAAAAACAGACATAGACATCTGAAGTTGCTTTTGAAGGAACGTTTTTCCAGCATATTGCATTTGAGGCCTCCTTATTACAATTCACACACTCTTGACCGCTTGGTGAAGATGCACCAACATTATATAATGATCTTCCAGATCAAAATCAAACCTTTAAAACATTTCGATTGCGCACATAATTTATGAGCATGCTTGTAGTTTGAGTGTGATGATGGTTTAAGTGGTTTGGGTCACATGCATTCTGGTCGATGCACGATGGCTTGTTGAATATTAAAAGAATGAAAATGAAATGCAATTGAAAATGTCATTAAAATAAAATAAAAATTAATAGTTAAAAAAGTTTTTCTTTTTTTTTTTCTTTTTATCACATCTGTCAACATGGAGGACAATGAAAAAAGTCATCTGCAACCTCCAGTGATACATAGAGTTAAATATTCCAGATCTTCCTTGGAAAAGCACCTTGGGGGATTTGATAAAAGGACAGAAGCCACTTGCACTTTCTAGTCATACTTATCGCTCTGAGCTCCTTGTAGTGGAAGCACATTCGTCCAGTCGCACTAACGAATGTGCAGACACATCGATGTGCAGATCTGTAGGCAGTTTGGGGTGAAGTGCTTTGCCCAGCAGCACATTAGCATGTGTCAGAAGGAATCTGAAGTCAAGCTCATAACTTTCGGATTGAAAGACAAATATTCTGGAGGCTGGAGCAAACATCTGAAAAAACAAACAAAAAAACAAACAACAACAACAAAACACAATGTTGTCCAAATCATATTTGCGTAACATAAACAATGGATTGCATGTCCGTTTCTCAGTCAGCTCAGGTCACATTTCCCTGGAAACCACTTATGAGTTGTTTGCTGTTAATTGTGATCGTCGGATATGTAAGGCGCCATGATCTTTGTGGAAAGGTCGACCTCACTGATGGTGACTTTTCTAATAATTAGCCATTTTTTTAAGCTAGGAAAATGCAAAAATTTATTTGCAAAGGCAAAGAAGGGAATTCCAATGGAATCTCTCCTGTTCCCAGACGAACTTCTGATACAAACGTCTCTGTTGGTTTTAATTTACTTTTCTCGTTTTATTTCTATTAAACAACTCTTGCAGCCTTTCGGGACTTTACTTGCATACAAATTATAACTGCCTTTGCCTCGTTAGTTTTTTAGCAATTTCAATTAACAGTTGCAAAAGCTCCTCAGTCTGTTTCTCTCCTGTTGGACGGGAACTTCAGGCGTGTGACTCTCCATCAGTTTCAGAGTTTTCACCCTGCGTTGCTTTAATGATATGAAGCAGATGTTTTCTGTCTGGGATCTGCTCGTCTCTGCTGTCTCAGCAGCTGCCTTTGCCCTCTTCTGTCTTCCGCTATTAGTCCACGTCAATCTTCTGCAATATTTCCCTTTTTCCACGCTCCCTCTCTCCCTCTGTCGCCTTCATTTTTTTATCCTCTAATAGGATGTAAAGCTCCTAAATCTTTGCTTGAGAACGACGAGTCTTTCTTAGCCGTCTGTGTTTTCACGACTCCTGTTTAATCTCTTTTCTCTTCTAATTTCGGACAGACCGCTTTGCTCCCAGCTATCCTCGTCGATAGTCACGCTGTGAGCCGGCAGTCTGCTGCTCTGTTCGTGTCCTCCGTGCAGCTGGAGCTTTGCATCAGCCACACCCAGCCTGCCTCACCCCTGCTGGGAGGGAGGAAGGAGACAGGACGGAGGAGAGAGGATAAAAGGGGATGTTTAACAGGATGAGAACAGGGGAACGGGGTGGACATAGAGAGAGAGGTATCAAAGAGAGAGAGAGAGAAAAAAAACAACCTGAAGGCTGTTGAGGATGTTTGATGAGATGTGGGAGCTGCTGAGGAGAGGCAGAGATGGGCGGAGCCGGCTGGGGGAGAGCAGAGGAAAGGATGGAGGAGGAGGAGGAGGATGAAGAGCGGCTGCAGATACTGAATAGACGTTAATGACTGAATTGATGAGAGGACAGTTTTAAAAGACGAGTCTTATGAAACAGATTCCACAGGGGTTTCACTTCATAAATCTTTTTTTTGTTTTGTTTTTTGTTTTTTTGCTGTTATTGTTTCCCCCAGTGGACAAACGTTGGCATATAGTTCAACTTTCTCATCTTGAATGGATGTGACTCGTGTCGGGTGAAGGCTGAAAACGCAGCAGACCTCACGTTTAATGGTAAAGATGCATAAAAAAAAAATAAAAAAAACGTGAAACATATTGACCTTCTCTTGTGTTGCCATTTAATCCTACATTTAAAGATTTGGTCCAGCTCTCTGTCTGTCAGCTGGACAGGGTTTATAAATCTCTCTTAACATCCTCCTCACATTTCAAGTCACTGCACTTGACTGTAGATACGGAAAGTTTAGGTTTCATTTTGCTAATGAATTTCTTTAGCTCTTCAAGTTATTTGATTGCACTATGTATAATGCTACTCCATTGCCCTCTCGACACATGAGAGGGAATGAAAGTCCAGGAGAGCCTTACTTCCTGACAATAAGGTGCAAAAGTTGTGAGCAGAGCCGGGATTTGTTCTTATTGCTGCTTTGTGTTGCTTCACCAAAATGATCTGCGTCTCTTTTCCTGCTGCCCTGAAAAGCATCCATCCATCCATCCATCCATTTCCTATATGCACTTAATCCACGACGGGTCGTAGGGAGGCTTGTCTCCAGATGTTAGAGGTTGAGAGCCCACTAGGAAAAGGTCACCAGCTCATCACAGGGCCTCATGGAAAGAGAATAGACAGACAACCATACACGTCAAGCTTATATTTCTTTTCGTTATTGTTATTTTCTGCATTTAGGATTATATTACATCAGACCAATGAAAGTTGATGCTTGTGAATCTTGACAGATGAGCCTCATCAGAGCTCATACTCTTACTGAACTTGACTGTAGCTCTGAATATGATCTAAACACACCACCTCCCTGCGCGGTCTGAAAATAAATATATGAGCATTTGTTGTATCATCAAAAGTTGTTTCCTCTTGTATATTTCTCTGTTCTGCTCGGCGTAGGGAAGTGGGTGCTGGTCTCAGAGCAGCCAAACATGAAACAAGCATCATGCTAGCTGCCGTCAAGTATGGCATGTAGCTCGTGCGTCATATATGTGCCTTTTATTGTGTCCGTGAGCGCTCGTGCATGTGCCGGTGTTTATTTTGGCTCACAGTTGCTGTGACAATACAGCTTCGCTCAGGAAGGTGGCAGTTTGTTTCTGTGTTGCTGCGAATGCCAAGAAAATGTTAAACCAAAAAAACACCAAATGAGATCATCAGTGACGCAGTTAGTATAGCTTTTAATCCAAAGCCTCTACTTTGTTTTTTTTTTTTTCATTCTGTGGCTAATTTATTTAACTCACTTAAACTTTAAAAAGCGATTTGTAGAATCTCTACGATCTGATTGGTTAATGTCTCGCTCAATGGGGACTTTCTTGCCATCTGAGTGTGTGTGTGTGTGTGTGTGTGTGTGTGTGTGTGTGTACGGAGTGTCTGTTGGACAATCACACATCCACTTCCCCTCCATGCACGTGTGCTGAGGCGAGCTCGCACTGAGAGTTAGTTCTGCTTCTGAAAGAGCACATGCCCACAACGTGCGTGTTGTGTAGCTTTTCTTGACTTCAGGTTCTGGAGATGGTTCTCTGAAGGCAGCCGGCAATGAGTTTCAGGAGCAAAATCACCTTCAGGAGGAAAACAAAAAACAAACGAGCACGGGCGGATTTCAACCGGCTCAGCATTGTATGTATTTATGTTCTTTTTTTTCTACTTCTTGTAGCGTTCTTCCTTATTTTTAGACGGATTGAATCACTTTTCCAGGCTGGTAGTTGACCAGCAATTAGTTATAGATCATGTCAGTCATATTTTTTAGTTTTATTTCCTTTGCGGTTTACACACATTTAGTGAGTGTAGTATTTGATTAAACATCTACCATAACGCTGAGCTTGGTTTGTACAGAAACCTACAAGTAGTCCTCTTGCTTTTCTTCGGAAGACCTGCTTCAGTCAATTCAGCTCGACAATAAGCTGTAATTCTTAAATAATCTCCAGTTTTCGAGAAGGGAAATCTAGACTTTTCCCCTGAAACATTTACTGACATGTCACATGAGTGCCACTGAAGTCATAAAGTACAAATAAAATCCTCAAACTTCAACTACACACCTGCTTCTTGCTTTTAGATGTAATCTAATTGCTTCCCCGCCCCATAGAGATCATTTTCATTAACGGTTGTCACTGTTTTTGAAAGGTAAAAGGTTAAAGGTCTTCAATACGTGGCAACATTTAGTATATTAGGTTACAGATCCAACAGTTTTCATAGATTAACAAAGTTCAACAATCAGACAGAAATGAGGAACAAAATCCTTGGCGATAACTGTAAGCAATCACTTTTTTTTTTTTGAAAGTAAATGGAGTAGGTTGAATTTCCTTCCTTGTTAAAAAAACACAAACTATCTTCGGGGCAGAAGTCGTTTTCATCCACGTACGGTCACATCTTTTTTTTGCAGGGAACTAAAACTGTATTTCCATCATTCTGTTGCTATCTGTTTCACTTTTCTGGGCCAGAGGCGGCCGTGAGAGCAGCCAGGCTGTTAGACCTCGCTGTGACGCCCGGGCCACGGCGTAGATGTGAACTGAACTAGCGATCATAACTTCCTCTGGGTTTCTGACCACAACCTGCTGCACCTCTCACTTTGCTGCTGTTGTTGCTGCAGGGCTGCCGCTCTCTGAATGACAGAAGTTGCTGTCCGCTGCTGTAAACATGCCTATAATGCTTGTTTTTTTTTTTTGTTTTTTTTTGTCATGTCACAAGTCCTGGTTTGGTGGCTTACACTTTATTTTTAGATTGATTTGACCTGTAAAAGGAGCAGAAACTGTTGAGTGGCTGGTTTCTTAATGTTGTGTGATTTAATGCATTAGCCTGCTATGATATTAGGAACTGTTATTTATTTATTTAGTGGGAGGAAAACATAACTACTTTGACTGGAAGATAAAGGAAGCTGCCTAATGCGTTAATGTATTGATCTCGTTTGCTTTTGAGCTTCACACTTTTCAGTGGGGTGTTTCAAAAGCTGCGCCATGGCAACAGCTTCACTTCCTCTGCAACTTATTTAGGTCCCTGTGATGTCATGGTAAAACACCTAAAATGTCATGTTCATGGCTATCTGCCATTTTCACACACATATTCCTGCTTGAATCTGGCTGGTGTGTGTACCTGAAATATCACAATAACACCATGAACAGAAAAGTAAATGTTTTTTTTTTTTTTTCATAAACATGTTGAGAGGTTTACTTTACAGGGTATTGCAATTTGTTCCCAAGTGGAGACATTTAGTCAGTTCAGCCATGACGGTGTTAAATACTTCACAATTTATTAATGGATTCTGTTTTGATTATGCCATGCAAAATCAGGAAGCGAGAGTAAAGGTAAAGAATGCATTGCTTGACTGAAGAGTTTGCAAGGTTTTGCCAAACATCTTTCTACCCTGGTTACACATTGTCACTTGGTCATCACTGAACCTTCAAAATACAAATGCATTGCACTTAATAGCATTAGCTAGCTCCATCCCTGTCCATGCAGTTGCTTGTGATGGTGATATGGCACATGCTAACTTTAAAACAATGATAATTCTGATTTATAGAGATAATCTGTTTGTTTTTATATATATATATATATATATATATATATATATATATATATATATATATATATATATATTTTACAATACATTCTATTTCCTGTGGTGCTTTGTCACATTGTATTACATTGTGTTAGCGCCTTACAACAGTAATACTGTACAGCCTTGAACCTTTGCAAACATATTTTTTTGTACTCGTTTAAGGTTTTATGTGATAGACCAGCACAAAGTAGTGCATTATTGTGAAAACAAAGACGCTGTGTATTAAGTTGTTTTTTTTTTCTTCTTGAAAAAAAGAAAAAAAAATCTGAAAATTGTGGTACATATTTGTATCAAGCTGAGCTGAGTGTTTGTGAGACCACTTTTTGCTGCAAGTTTTTTGAGGTATATCTCTTTTTTTTTTTTCTTTGCAAAATACCTCAGTCACACTCGGATTGGTTAGAGAGTGTTTGTAAGCATGATTTATTATTTTTTTTAAATCTGGCCACAGTTTTACTAATGATTGGTCTGCACATAAATAAACTTTGAGTTAAACCTTCTGTTGTATCTCTGGCTGCATGCTTAGGGTTGCTGTCCTGTCAGAGTCTTTTGCAGCTTCCACTTTACCTTGATCCTGCCCACACCAGTCGGCTGCTCTCAAGTCACTTATCGGCATCGGAGCGTAGAGGACCCAACAAAAATACGTTCTATACTTTTTATATATTTGCATTTGTAAAAATTGTTGAAAAACATTTTCCTCCCTTTTCACAATATGATGCACAAAATTATGATGAAAGTCGTATTAAAATAACATACTCTGCTCTATCATCTATTCTGTTGTGCTGCATTGCACCATGCGGCACAGGGTTGCTTCAGATTGGATAGCTACATGATATCTTGTAAGATGCCGTGATTTATAGTGTTCAGATCAAACACACGTCCAAAATTTAATTTTGCCCATTTCCTCTTTCTCCATTTGCAGCAGGAGAAGCCGAAGCTGATCGATCCTCTTGACTATGAGGCCGTCATCTCTGAACTTTGGGAGGAGCTGAAGGAGGACCCGCTCAGAGAGCTGCTCCTCTTCCCCGACAATGATTTCTCGGTAAGTGAAAGTTTTCGTGGAGAAATCAATCTGTAGGGTTCCTATCTGCATTCAGACTTTATAGAGTCATTGGCACACAAGGCTACACGAAACCTTTCTGTTGCGTCTGCCCTTTTTAGACTGACGATTTGGATGTTAGAAAATAATTGGGTTTGTTGTTGGACATTTGTCAAAATGTTTCATCTGAACCCCGGCTAGCTTAACTCAGCATTTCCCGACAACATAGCCGCAACAAAAAACGCTCTTGGCTGATCGAGTGAGTCAGTTGTTGAGCTGGAGCTCCTGGAAAATTTCAGATCTGCTTCGTAAAAAGTTATTTACTTATTTAAAATTAGCATTAAATATTGCTGGGAGTTGGCAGGACGTTTTTGTTCGTCTATAGCAATGAAACCAAAAGATTGTAAATGAAATTGACCGTGACAGACTTATTATTAAAAGGCACTGTGTGTTACTTTCCAGCTCATTATAGAAGCCAATCATTTACACACACTAATCATGCATGTAGAGGCTTACAGTCTTTCCAATCACTCAATAGCTCATTCTCTTAGGCTCTCCTTTAGCTCTTTGTTCATTAGCACCTTCATTACTATGCTAATGCTTTGCTGCAGATGTGCATCAACTGCACAATAAAATGGCCTCATTGGCTGCTTGTGGTTCAGGGTTTCATTTGCTTTTGACCCCAGAACTGAAGATTTTTTTTTTTTTTTATGTCTTTGGTGGTTGCCAGCTTCATTTGGCAGCAAAGCAATCTTCTCTGATTTTTATGTCTGCAGTGTGCTGTCAGTGTTCCTTCTTATAAGTCAAAGTGGCTTGCCAGAGTATTAATCAAGGAGAAGGTATTTACTAGCTCTGCTCTTTTGCTAAATCACTGGAGAAATAAAAATTGTTGCCAGCTGACTGCACAGCATCTAAATCATGGTTCGAACGTTGGTGCTGATTGGGTTTTATTCCTTTTTCTGCATTGGCAGGCTTGTAAAAAAATGTATCAAAGCAATTTAATCTGGTTATTGATGTGCGTTTGAGATTTGATGTTTAGTTTATGGAAAAGGAAATTGACTTTTTCTAATT